GCATAATTGTACTTTCTAGCACATCAAATGATTTTTCTCTCTGAGTTATTCTCAAGAATTATCTCTGTCTACAACTGACTGATAACACTAATCTTAACAGATTAAATCCCTGCTTGGAAAAGAGTACAATGAAAGTCATAGGAAGATGCTACTTGAAAACTGTTCTGAGGGTAGGATATAGTTGCCTATTATAATCTATTTATTTATTTTAAAAAAGTCCTCAAAAAAAGAGTCACCCCAAGAAGATGCATTACTCTTAGTTGCTGTGTTGCCATGTGAATGTGTGTAGCACAGCATGAAAGACTGAAATCCAAGTTTGCTTTTATGGGGTAACCTTTTTTTATATACTTTAAATATTTCTGAAATAGATGTGTGTACAGACCCTGGCTAAGAGCAGAGCTTAGACACTCTCTTATCTACATTAACTGAAAAGATCCAAATTGTTGGTGAGCTAAAATCATGGCTTCTCACAGCATTGGACTCAGGTTGTGCTTATGATGGCTTTTTCATGATTCAGATGTCTGCGACAGATTTTATTTTTTGAGCAAATGCAATGAAGAATAGTAAGTTTGCTTATCTGTGAGACTATAGTGTTATTGAAACCATTGCAATTGTCTGCTGCTGTGCTATAAAACTGTAGCTTTTTCCATGGTTGTCAAGTATTGTGTAGAAAACGGAACAGGAGGAGCTCAGAAGGACATAGCATGGCCTTTTGTAGAATTAACACCTTTAATCTAATGAATTTTGTTTATTGAGTTATTAAGCAATCATTAAGAAAGTTAGAGAAGTGATTTTCTACTTCGGTTTCAAATGATAAAATAATGTGTTCAGAATCAGGATATTGTTTCAAGCTAAATGTATTGAATTGAAATATGTAGCCATTTGGAAGAATATTAGAAAGTCTGAATAGTTGCTTTCTGAAAGAAAGTAAACATTGAAATAGAAATTGTATGTTAATTGATGCATTCTCCTATTTTAAAAATATGAGCTTTGTCAAGGAAATAATTGTGGTCTATCTTGCTAATAACGTTAATTAATCTTAATTACATATTTACGTAAAAGTCCAATTTTTGATACCAGCAGGTCTTTAGTGTAGGTCCGAGAAGAAAGATGTCATGTCTTAATAAAATAAACTCTCTTAAAATTTCCTTTCAAAGTTTCCTTGAAACATTAAGACTGTGTGTGGGTTTCTTTTAATGTGTGGTTTTGGCGTTAAATGATTTTTATTTTGTTTGTTAATGCTTTTTCCCCTCTGTATTCCTAACAACATTCTTGGTATTTTTCCCCTGGTCAAGGGATTGCTTAGCTCAGACAAAGGCTTTGCTTCAAAACAAGTAACTGTTTAAGACAGTCAATTGAGGTACTATTTTCAAAATGTCACTTAAATCAAGGCTTGAAAATGTATAATTGAGGGAAACTATTTGTAATGTGGTACATAAACAATGACAAAATAAAGCATTTATATTCCATAAGACAGGCACTCAGTGAGCTGTTGGAATGTGCTTGTTTTCTTTAATTTATTAGAGAAATTGAATATAGAAAAAGTTTTGTGTCTTGGTAACTACAAAGACTAGAAGTTAATCTTACAGCAATAACGATTCTGATCTCAACACAGATCAACAGAATGCTATTTGAGGAAAATATGTGAAATTTACCTACTCTTCTACTGCTAAATTTCAGCTATTAAATTGACTCTGTTAAATACTTACTGAATTTTTTTAATAAACAGTAGCCAGCTGTACTCACTGAAACTTTTTTTTTTAAAAAAAAAAAGTCATATCCATAAAAATATAAACCTTAGTTAAGAGTAGATTACAAACTTTGTTACATGTCTAGATTTTGTTTTAATAAATGAACCTGTTTGTTGGAAATAGTATTTTCTTCTGTGTATTTTTGAACCTGCTTTGTTTTTAATGCAAATGGCCTGTCTGTCCTGTGGTACCCCCCTTCCCTGTCCTGATATCATGGCAAGCTTGACTACAAGCATGCTTGTTAATACTATTTGGCCAGTAGTTCATGAGTCTGTGAAATCACTCGTGGATCTCAAGTTACCCTTTTTTGTGGAATTTTTTATTGTAATATGCTTTCCAGGAAACTGGTATGTGTAGAATCAGGGATGCAGTAATTTTCAGAGGTGATCTTCATTTTGCAAAAGTGTTATTCATGTTGCATGATAGTCAAAAGTATTCATCGGGAAATTGCGTCATTTTTAATATTTTACATGTGACTGGTCGTATTATAATTAGCTGCCGTGTGGTAAATCTAGTATGCCTAAACCACACAAAATGCCTCTACAGTGATGATCATGGTGTGGCCTGGGGGGAAGTGGGGGAAATGCACCATCATCAGTGAGTCTTCATCTTTGTAATTTCTGGGGCTTGAATCATATTGATTTTGGTAGGCTGGAAAAATTGCCAGTGCAACCAGTGGGACATAAAAATTAATGTTTGTGTGTGTGACCTTTTTCTGTCTTGGGAGGTATTACAGTTGCAATGATAGTGTAGAACAGAGCCTGTAGAAGAGAGCTTGCTCTAGGTTTTGCTTTAAGTTTTCAAGGGTGTTTGTAAGGAGGTGAGGTTGAGGAGGAAGTAGCACCACTGCTGAAACTTGGAGAACTACCAAAAATAAGGCCATGTTTATACTGAGAAACATTGTGCATTGGATTTTTAGAAAAGAAGGAAAAATTCTGTTAAATTGTAATGGGCTTGAATCTCTACAGACCTTAAAATGGTGCTGGTTTCACAGGTCCTTATGTTTAGTCTCTCTCAGATGGCTGGGCACCTGCTGTCTGTTCTTTCAGCAAATGACCACAGATTTCAGCAGAACACTGGTGAAGTCAGTGTACCCTACAGACTGCTAAAATACTAGAGAGTTCTATGATAGTAATGTTCATTATTTGTTAAAATAGCAGTCTCTTTTAGTTGATCAGTTTTTCAGGATGGGAAGAATAATAAGTCTGATTATATAGACTTCCTTTTTCTTTGCTAATTCTGGGCTATCCTTTTACAATTCTGAAATAAACAATCTTGACTCAGTTCTTCCATTTTCTGATTTATCTTGGAGGATTTATGTATGTCAGGTGTATCAACAAGTCCATCAAGGAAGGGAGATGAAGAGAATCAGTTTCTGTACAGAATCAGATGTTTTGAAGGGCAAGAGGTTTGGTCAAAAATTCTTTACTAACTTGGCAAATTCAATATTCTGGAATATTGAATCCTGGCACTCCTGTGAGGAGGGGCAGATGTTAAAAATCTGCAGAATATGAACACAGGCAAAGACTGTGTCCTACCAGAACAACAGGAGGCATTTAGATGGACAGAGAGTCAGTCCTAAACCTGGAACTGCTGTAGGGAATTTCACAGTTTCCACACTACAGCCTGCTTTTGTGGGGGCAATAGCATGTGCTGCTTGGCACTTCAAGTTATGAAGAGAAGGGTGACACTTTGCCCACTAATGATGTCCAAGTGGATCCTTTAAAGAGTAATTTTGATTAAAGATTTTTTGTTTTGCTATTTTTTTTAAAAAACCCTCTGTTTAACTTTTTAAAAGAATCTATAGAGAAATAGATTACTGATACTGAAACTATGTCCTCTATTAGCAGTTACACGGGTCAACATTAACCACTTTTTTTCAGGTCCTTACTTTTCTTTGCTTTCCTTTATATTTCCTAAGGACAATAGTTTTCTGAAAATACCTGTCACTACTTGCCTTCCTTTCTTCCCATGCAGATCTTTCTGAGAAGTAATATAAAACGTTTTGCTTATTTTTTGCATGAAAATAATAAAAAATATTTTTGTTCTGCAAAATAACTGTAAGCAGAAAAACATAAGGTGGGAAAGAACTTCTGTTGTTACTAGAAAACTGTTTTAAGTTACAGCCAGCATAAGATTCTGCTGGGTGTCTGTGTAAAGGATTTGGGCCTGAATCCTCTCAGCAGAGTTGCAAAATATGTAACTGAGAAAGGTTGTGCCGGTTTGTGCTCTAACTTGTATGTTGATGTGGGTCTATGGTTCGCATGACACAAATTAAGGTGCATCTGATTGTGTTCTAAAAACAGTGCGCCCTCATGAGTGTTTTCCCACAATAAATTCACTGAATCACTGAATGGCTGAGTAGGAAGGGACCTCTGGAGTTCCTCTAGGCCACCTAGAGCCACTTGTTCAGGAACTGCCCTTTTAGTTTCAGAAAAAAATGGGAGAATACACTGCTGTACAAGTGTAAAAGACATTTGTCTTTTCTTACCCTCCCACCTTCCAACAGGTGAGCAGGTTTGGGCGCAGAGACAAGGTGTTGTTGGTGCCCTCGTGCCGGTTTGCAGGTGTAGCACTAGAAATCAAGAACTGTGCTCTTGTCCAAGTTGAAGAAATGCAGCTAAAAGTAATTTGGCTGAAACCCAAATGAGGTATTTAGCAGCTAATTAAAATAGTCATTCAATTTAAGCCCAGTATGGAACTGAGAGTCAGGAAGGACCTCATTTTTGTCTCTTTGCATGAAAACCAACTACTTTTGTGCTTTAAAGACCCATTAGGCTACATAACCAGGCAGAGCTGTGAAAGTGTCAACAACCTCTTGTTTAACCTTGGATTTTCTTTTACCTAGCATTAAAGTATTTCTGTGAAAAGTAAAATGTGCAGTCATAACTTCTCTAATACAGTTTTCATTGTGGTGGGCTGTCCTTGGCAAGTGTCCAGATGCCTATCCAGCCGCTCTCTTGCTCCCTGTCCTCAGAAAAGGGAGGGGAAATAGGATAAAAAAAGCTTGTTGTTTGAGATAAAGATGGAGAGATCACTTAACCATTGCTATCATAGAGAAAACAGTCTTGATGAGGAAAATTAATTTATTGCAAATTAAAATGGAAATGGATTATGAGAAACAAAGACAAAATTTCTAATGTTTTCCCTTCCCTCCCACCCTTTTTTTCCTAGGCTCAACTTGACTTGTTTATTTCCAGTTCCTCTTCTTCCTCACTATACCTTTATATACTTTTCTTCTCTTTTTAGGAGAGGCAAGAAGCACAGCATAATTCTGAGGACCCAGTTGTCAGTGAGAGTCCATGCCTGCATTGGTAAGTTAAGTTCCACGTGTCTGAAAGAGAACAAATAAACAGAATCAATTTCCAGGAAGCAAATCTGGGGAGAATGAATCAGACTTGGCTGTGTTCCAAATTGACAGTAATGGCCAATAAACTGATTTCATTATTTTGTTTGTTGCATGCTGAAATTAGGTTGTATTAGCTACACTACCTTTAAAGCATGTTAAATATCACAGGGAAGTATAGCATTTGACAGTGAAGTCAGATGGTTGGGTGGTTCTTTGAAGAATCTTCAATTATCTGTCTTGTCACAGCCTTTGTGTGCACCTGAAAAAGACTGTGTTCTAGCTGAGGAGTGGGATCTAAAGAATTGTTGGCTGACAGCTAACTGCTATATTTTAATAGCATATAAGGTTTATTACTTCACATCTTGCAGAACGTGGTTGCATATATTTGTCATTATCACAGTGTCAGTGTCTTAAAAACCCTGGTTAAACAAAGCTATCACAAGGAAAAGTGTAATGAAAGCTATAATGTATGTGTCAAAAGAGCTTTGAGTTTGCATGAAAGGAATCTGATGGTCTGGGATGGCATTAATATGTTCTCCAAACTTCTACAGAGCAGAATGTTTGAGTGTCAGTGGCAAAACTAATGCTCATGTCCTGGTGACAGTATGACATTCTATGTGTGGCTGGTTTAAAACAAAAAATAAAAAATCCTGTATGTCTGTGCCACAGTTGTTTTCAGGTTCTCTGTAGTATATTCAACAGTGTAATATGTTTAACTTATTGGTCTTGCTTCAAGATACCATAGATAAAGCCTTGAAATATAGGTATCTTCCTTAAAAGGAAGAGGAGGATTTCAAAGTTTTGTGTCATTTCTACAGTAACTTTTGGAGGATTCAGGCTTTAAATACAGCTAAACGTTTTCCCCTGCCCCCAGGATATGTTGTGAAATGGCATTTCTGAGAATTTGAACTGAGTATAAGCAACCTACAGAATTCCACAAATACCTCTCATTGAGAACAATGTCTAGGCTGCCTTGTGCAGGAACAGTTTCTCCTCTACTACCATTGACTTGAGGAAGAAAAGTAGAGCAATCATACGTGTTTAAGTGTTAGAGAAGGAACAGAGATGATGCAAAACCTAAACTGATTTTATAAATGTGAGTGAAATTAAGAACAGCTTGGAGAAGATTGTTCTTGTTAGGTCTGGAAGTATATTTGGCAAAACAGACCAGTACAGCAAGACAAGATTTGATAAGTTTCCCGGATTGAGGTTTTATAAAAAGAATTTTCATGTAATTTTTTTTTCTCCAGAGTGCAGCCATCGAGGAATTGGAGCACATAAGGTTCTGAGTGTCGACATGTGGTTGCATTGTTGTTATCTGTTTTCATTCAAGCTTACTGTGGGCAATTAGCCATATTACTGTGCATGTATCTTAATTGTTCCTGTATGAAAGTGTAGTCCCTTGTCAGGTGCTGTTGCTCTCTGGCGGCAGTGATGCATTCAGCAGTGAGTACAGAGGAAGCCAGGCTGCAAAACTTGAGTCCAGATTTCAAACTCCTAGAGAAGAGGTGTGTTTGGATATGGGCTTTTGGCTTGGTTCATTATAGTCAGAAAAGCCAAATGCAAGTTCTGGTTCTAATTTCCATCCCCCCTGCTATAGTTTAGATTTTTGGGGTAAGTTTTTGTTTCAGCCCCTAGCTGGATGTAATGTAGTTTCTTTTCTCTTATTTTCTTTTTCACTTCTTTTCATATCAAGTTTTTTTTTTTTTTTTTGTATGGGATAGTTTGAAAGAGTTGGGGAATATTTTGTTTTTCATACTACTGGAAGTGTTTGCAGAGCTGTGCCTGGCAGTCAAACCTGTCACAGAATAAGAGGGTTATTTCACTGGCACAGTGGGTGCTGCTGGTGGATGTGTATGTACACATCAGCTGCCTTTTGAAAAGCAAGCATTAGGTTTAGATGTTAAAAGATATGTTACATATTTGGAGTAGAAGCCAGGAGATAGAGGAATCTGAGATGGTGTTACGTGGAGTAAAACTGTCATGCTTTGGGTGTTTTCTTTCAGTCTTCACAGTCGCCATGGAAAGCATTGTGGTTAGCAATGTTACTGATTCTGCAAAGTCCCCAACAGGTAGCTAGGGCTGCTTTCTGAGAAGGTGTGGTTTGTTGTGTTGTGACCTTTCTGCAGAACCTCCTGTCATCTTTGTATTCAGAGTTTTACTTTGTTCTGAAGAGCTGATAGGTGTAAAGAAATAGCTCTCCTGCATAAAGAAATAAACTCTCCCATTTTGAAGCTGGATCAGTATTTTTTTCCTTCTTCCTAATTCACTGTACTTTTAAATTGTGGGAAATAACAGAAGTGTTTATGTTCAGATGTCCAGATAAAGTTTTCCATCGTTAGTGACTTCAAATCTCTGGAGAATTCATTGGGCTTCAGTGTCAGAGCATGTATTGACTACATCTACAACTACTGATATTTTTGAGACCCGGGAAGAATTAGCAAGTCTCATGTCAAGTGGGGTAGGGTTTTTGCAGGGAAAAGAGCAGGGAATGAATAATACTTAACTTGAGTGTAGAAGTTGTGGTATTTTCTACCCTGTTAAATACAAGTCCCTCTTAACTACCTTAATTTAATGCATTACTACTTTCTATTCTCTTTTTTTTTTTTTTTTCCAACTCTCAATTTGAGTTCTTTTCTTATGTGCATACTAAGAACTTTCAGCATAAAGGAATAAATTTTCTTTTAAATATTATTCTATTCTCCCATTTTGGCTTAATCCTGATTAAATTATCAGGATTAATTAATAGCTAATATTTTTAAGTGGTTTTAATACAAACTTCAATATTTAGAATGTTTCTTTAAATCAAAGGAACATTGCTGAAACCAGTTCTGTTCAGAGAACATAACTAATTGAAAATTATAGATGTATTTTTGTACTTGTTGATGTCCAAAGACTTTAGTGGAGGAATCATAGAATCAAAGAATAGAGAGGATTGGAAGGAATCTAAAAACCATTTAGTTCTAACCTAATGACTAAAAGTCAATTAGTTCTAACCCCCTGCCATGGGCAGTGATGCCACCCACTAGAACAGCTTGCTCAGGGCCTCATCCAAGCTGGCCTCCAACACTTCCAGTGATGGGGCATCTGCAGTTTCTCTGGACATCCTGTTCCCATCTCTCACCACTCTCACAGTAAAGAATTTCTTCCTAACTTCTAATTTAAATCTGCCCTCAGTTAAAAACTATTGCCTTTTGTCCTATCCATATATAAAGTCGCTCTTCTTTTTTAAAAGACTCCTTTTATTACTGCAAGGCTGCTATAAGGTCTCCTTGAAGCCTTGTCTTCTCCAGGCTGAAGAGTCCCAGTTCTCTCAGCCTTCACAGGACAGGTGACCAGAGGGCTGGAGCATCTTCATGCCCTTCAGACCTCTTCTACCAGGTCCATGTTCTTCCTGTGCTGGGGACCCCAGAGCTGGATGCAGAGCTCCAGTTGAGGTCTCAAAAGGGCAGAATAGAGGGGCAGAAGCCCCTCACACACCCTTCTGGCCACACTTTTGATGCAGCCTAGAACATGATTGGCCTACTGGACTCTGAGTGCTCCTTAAATCAGATAGTGTCGACTGTAGCTTTTCTTCCCACAAGCTTTCAAATTTGACCTTTTATTCAAATCACATTTATTATGAGTTACTACCCTTGTGGGAAAAGTACTTTTAGTATTTTTGGCAGCCATATGACTTTGTATTTAGTTGTGTCTTAACATTATTTTAGTTTGTATATATTTAACAATTACAGGGCTCAGCTGAAGCCTTGATAAAGTCTAATGTAAATGGGAATGTAACTATAGAGAAAGAACACCAACAATGTCAAAAGTTTTAGCCCCCTGAAACTAAATGGAAGGCTGTAGTCAGAGCAATATTATGACAGTGAAGTTTTAAAGATCTTTACCAGCTCCACTTTTCCCGCAGAAGGACTCGGTTTAACCATTCGGTCCTTGGTTGGCCAGCTCCTGCTTCATTTGTTTGTTCATTGCTTCATGGCTTTTTTTCTCAAAATCTGGTGTGATCTCTGAGAGAAAAGGCACCATTTGCTCTCGTATATCTGGATGCTTTATTTAGCCCAAGAGAGCCCCCATGTCCTCTTCTAAAATGCTTATTCCTGTGATGTTAAATCAGGAGGGTTGCAATCAATGCTGAGAATGATGTTTGGACAGGGATCCATGACAATGACTTAGAATGATTCTGCCAAAAGAAGTTTGGTATAAGCTTCAGTTGTTAATACAATGTAATACAAGAAGAATGCAAATAACAAAAGTTGATGTGATTCTGAGTGAATGTATTGACCTGGGATTACTTAGAGTACTGTGGTTTGGAAGGTTAGCAAATGTTGCAAGGAGTATTTTAAATTTTATTACCTTTTTGTGTCAGTTTATTATTAAAAAATCCCCCCCAAACCCCAAGCCAAATAAACAAACAAAACCAACCAAAACAGACACCCAGGACCTGCAGCTGGTTATTTAAATGCTTTTTCTCTATAAAATTACAGTTTTTTTATAGTTAGATCTCTGTCCTGTATTTGTGCAAAATTTTCTTTTATCTGCCAATAGATTAAAAATAATTTGCATATATATTTGTATATATTGCATTTCATAGCTTGATCCAGTGAGGGCCCTAACAGAGTGCAAGCATATTATTGCAAGAGTCTTGCAAAATGTATAATACAGCTTTGGTATAAGTTGTTATAACCATTTTATAATCCTCTTCTATTGGCTCTTGCATGTGAGCAGATGCAGAGTTCCCTCCACAGTGGATTATTCCCAACTCTGGGACACCAGTGCTGCCGTGCTGCAGAGCAGCTCTTTCTAGTCCCTACTATCAGGGCATCTGTGTTAACCAGCAGCGTTAGCACCAATAACTCAGCCTTTCCACAGAGCTCTTGGGATTATCTTTTTGATATCCCCTTGCTCTTTATATCATTTATGAAATGTAGCCATAAATATTTTCTTGAGCCTGTATTGTTCTGGAAT